CAAAATCATTTTCCTTGTCATCGTCTTCAGCACGAAACAGCTCCTCCCAGTCTTCTCCTTGAACAGGGCTAGAGGGTACATGTTTTTCGAATCGTTTTCAGTTAAAAAACTGTTACAGCACATGTATATTTTACCTAAACTGTGCCGGAATGAATATATTCGCAGAAATAAATAGTAGTTTTGCTGAAACGTGATGGATTTCAATATAAAATAGGATATATACATGACGAAAACAAAAGACTTTACCTAACCTTCCGATGTTCAAGAGATGTTACTCGTTTTTTTAATAGTTTTTGGTTAAAATACTGTTATATTACAATGATATTCTCTTCATACTCTGCTTGATATACTACATTCACGGAAATGTAATATTTTTGCTGAAATGACGTCCGCATTACAATGGAAAGTGGAATAAAATCGTGACCAAAACAATGACTAGCTTTCTTTCGTTCAAAAGATGTTACCGTAATCGCTTTTCGAATGGTTTTCAGTTAAAAAACTGTTGCATCACAAGTGAATTAGGAGAGAATATTATTGTAATACAACAGTTTTTTAACTGAAAACCATTCGAAAAGCGATTACGGTAACATCTTTTGAATGAAAGATAGTGAAAGTCATTGCTTTCGTCACTTTCCACTGTAATACGTACGTCATATCAGCAAAAATATTACATTTCCATATTCTCAGAATAAATAGTAGTTTTGCTGAAACATAATGTATTTCAATGTAAATTAGGATAAACTACATGAAAACAAAAGACTTTACCTAACCTTCCGATGTTCAAGAGATGTTACTCGCTTTTTTAATAGTTTTCGGTTAAAATACTGTTATATTAGTGATATTCTATTCATACTGTGCTTGATATAATACATTCACGGAAATGTAATATTTTTGCAACTACAATGTTGATGTCAACACAAGTGTGGTGACAGCGAGACTGGCTGAGTGAGGTGTGTGTGAGGTAGCGGGAGCGGGCTGTGTCCCGTGTTCGGTGCCGCGCGCGATTTGAATGTACTTCAATTACTTCAATGTACAGAATATTCCTCTGGCGGGGCAATCCGCGTATTTGCGAATTCGTGAATGCTAAACCCGCGTATGTGAAGGGCCGACTGTAGATAGGTACAGTACACTAGCAACTTACGCGTATTTTTCTTACGCGGTTTCAACTATACGTGGATTACCCCAGGGGTTAGGTTACAATTTCCAATTTCAAAATCAAAATTTTCAAAATGGGTCATAAGCTCTCCAAACACTAGCCCGCCAAACGCTCCACCCCTGTCATCCCACCTCTCTGTCTTCAGTTGCCAAATGGGTATTGTCATTGTAACACCTGCCTCTCGTCTGTATCAATTTAGTGCGAGTAAATCTCTCTCATACTCGTTCATAATGCCCAAACACAAGCTAACTGTACTATGTAATGTACATGTACTCAAATGTACTACAGTATATACTGTAATTACAAAACTTTTCATGTTTAGTGCAAACTATTGCATATTTATATTCAAATCAATCACAATCTTACAAAAATTCTATCAATGTAAGTTAAATTCTCTCCGGTCAATTTAGTGATATTTTATGAGCAAAAAACTTAACTCCTCTACAGTATATGACAGATAAGACGCATGGGATTAAGGTCCCCGCCGGCTGGTGAATACCTCATCTCACCCCCACTCTTCCCCCCCTGTCTGGCGGTCAACCAGTGGTGGGCATGGTTCCGCTAATTCGCTAACTGCTAATTAGCGAAGCTAACTTTCTCGTTAGCGGGTTAGAGTTTTCGCTAACTTTGGAAACCATTAGCGGACCAATTAGCTTTTGCTAAATTTAAGTCCGCTAACAAAATTTATACATGTTTGTTCCTGTCTGTTGTAAGCATGTGATGCCGCGACGCGTGTCTCAACAGTCAGACAGGCACGCTTGGCTGACTGTGTGTTAGTACATGCAAAGATATCTTGAGGGACAAGAGAGCCACCCTGTCAGATGGCAACTTTGAGAGGCTGATGTTTATGAAGGGCAACCAGTATCACGTCGAGGCGATGGAGAAGGCCCAGCCACTGCAGCCGGAGTGAATGGAATTTTTCAATTATTAAAGTTTAATACTTTTTTTTTTACAGTAAATAAAGACTGTCAGTGTATGTTGAAAGAATCATAGAATGTAATTGTATACTAATGTATAATTTCATTTCTCATTTATTTTTTAATTTAATTGGGATTTTTTTGTGTCAATATATTTGGTAATGCTAAGTACTGCATAAGTTCATAACCAGGATGTCATCCAAGGTGCACGCCAAACAAAATTTTCTAAAAACTTACTTTTCATTAAAATTTAGAGTTTTCTGTTTATTTACATGACTAAGACCAACAATAAGTTATATAAAAATGCACTGGTATAATGACTAAGACCAACAATAAGTTATATAAAAATGCACTGCATAATGTGTATGTGGTTGGTATTGCATATTTACATGAATAATGAATAAGGCCGATAGGTTGTATGAGAATGCAAATTAATTATTTGTGAAATTGTGTACAGAGTACACCTTGATAAGTTGATCATCTGATCTTGGCATGATGCTATTTGCTACCTATGCTATACAGTACTATAGTTTTTGGATTCGTTTAATACTTTCTGTCTTTTTGTACAGTAACTAAAGATTATAAAGTGTATGTTGAAACTTGAATGTAAACTAATGTTTAATTTCATTTGTTCATTAATTATTTGTGTACACCTTGATCATCATCTGATCTTGGCGTGCTATACCTTTTTGGAAAGCTCTATGTCTAAGCTACAAGACAACATATGAAAATTTCAGCTCTCTAGGTCTGTTTTTAAGGGTTTTAGAGCCAAAACAACAAACAAACCGAAGCTAAATTCATATAATAAAAGTTAGCGGTTAGTGTTAGCTTCCGCTAATTGTTTTATCTGAATAGCGGTTTAGCGTCAGCGAAATTAACTTTTTAGTTGGTGGATTAGCGGTTAGCAAAGCTGACTTTTCATTTAGCTGTGCCCACCACTGCTGTCAACACATCACCTCCCCCTTCCCAGGGGTGAAGGTAGTTTTAGGCTTAAAATTTTTATCTTATAAAATGTAACAGACTAAAGTTAGGAGAATATAATTTTCATTGCTGGAATCCTTGCAAGATAGCGAATAATTTCAATGTAGACATTACACACCTCAAATAAGGGATAAGGGATTGTGGATCTGTATTACATTACAGTACAGTATAGTTTGCATTTACGCGGTCAATTGAACCCGTGGAGGTCCCCAAACTCCACTTCTTCCGACAATATGTACCTTGTAGTAAAAATAACATCTTAATTTTATGATGGTATGCACACACAATTAATATTTAAGAGAAATATCAATAATATTAGGTTTTTTAACACTTACATTAGTAGAAAAGATGGGTCGGCACACGTGGGTGGCGGCTGGTTCTGAGGCAGAGGGCAGATTAGTTGCCCTACGGTGAATCACTTTCACTACTCGCAGAGGTTTGCAGGGCCTCCCAGACAAACCCCTCAAAGTCCATATCCTCACTGTCACTATCACTGACTTGGGCTGGCTGTGGTGGTTTGCGGGCGAAGAAGTCCTTAATACTACGTTGACGACTAGCATTGATGTTGTCGAGATAGATCTGGATATACGGCTCCATAACTTTCGTCAGATGGTTATTAGACACTTCATACCGATGCTTGTCTGGGTCGTTGTCAAGGATGAGCTTAATTTTCTCCCCCAACTCTATGATTTCCTTCACATAATCATGGCTTGGTCCAGGTAATTCAAGGTTTTTCTCGGGTGGTGGGGGTCCAGCGGAAGCCATTGTGAGGGGAATAGCGGGCACAAGAGAGAACTGTATACGTGGACTGAGAACAATGAGACTGGCCCGGCTAGGTCAACGACTTCTGGTGGCAGGGCACGTCATGTACATTAAACCAATCACAGCTAGTGGCAGAGGGAATGCGTGGGTGGTAAGGATGCGTGGCCCAATCACAGTCCGATACGTCATATGACATCAGCGATAACGCAAGAGCGACCTAATGCTCACCCCTCACCGCCCCGCTTCCCGCGTATTGTCAAGAATGGACCGCTTGAGTAAAAAATGGCGCAGCGCTTCTGCACCTCTCCAGCCGCTCGCCGCGTAAATGATGAAATTTACCGTGTAATTAAAACATTTCATTCTGGCAAGGCACCGCATAAATGACCAAACTCATAAACAAAAACCGCATAAATCCAGACTATACTGTAGTGATTTGTGAGATCTAGTGTATATGTACGTACAGTGGTCCCTCGGTTAACGAACACAATTCGTTCTAGAGTCGTTCGTTAACCGAATCAATTGTTTCAATGGGATATTGGGTAATTGGTTCCAGCTCACAGAAAAGTACATACAAAGTAAAAAAAATGCAGTAAAGTACACTTACTTTGAGGTGTGTATGTAGAAGGTTCCTGGTAGATGATGATGATGGGAATTAGAAGTGTAATTCAAGATTATTTTATTTAAATCAACACTGCACTGCGCTATATATTATCAATATGTTAAGTTAATTTCAGAATGACCAATAATTTCAATGTAAAAATGCAAAAATGTTCAAGACACCAACAAAATAGATGTTCACTCCACTGTCAACAAAGCCAAACTGACGCCTGGTGGCTGAGTCAAGCGGCTGATTGGCGCACAAAAAACTAGTTCCCTGTACTGCATGTATTATCAATATGCTAACTAAATTTTAAAATGACTAATAATTTTAACATAAAAAATGCAAAAATATTAAAGAGCACAACTTTCTTGATATTTACTTCACTGGAAACGATTGTAAACATAGAACAGATTATTGAATTGGCAGACTAGCCCATCAGCTGATCAGCTGATGCTGATCAGTATAAATACAGGTAACTGTACATACTATTAATTTTGTATTTATTTTTTTAATCTTGAGAGTATTGAAATGTATTGGTGTGTATAAATTGTTTAGTTTACATCTATAACATTTCACTTTTCAGTTTAAAGGAAGCGGTTCTTGGACAGCAAGTAATGGCCACTCGGCAATGCAGGTAATATATACGAGTTTAACATACAGTACAGTACAGTAGGTGTTGCTTTATAATTTAATTTCTTGGTATATACTGGTTTGTGTGTACTGCTGCTTGTAATAAATAGCACTTGTTTTTTTTTTTAATTATGATAAACATTTAAGGCTAAGACAAATATACTCATATATTGGAAATTTGATGTAATTTTCATTACAGCTAATGCCTAAAAGTCCTTCAGAAAAGAAGCAGGTAGAAGTGTCTCGACGAACTAAATATCGCCTCAGTGATGATGAATATGCAAAGGTGAAGCAGAGAAAAAAGGAGCATGATAAAATGAAATTAGTAAGTGAAATATGTTAACAGTATTTTATGGCTTATTGGTCGTCAACTACTGTACAATATTGATATCTGAGATCCATACCTGTACTATTAAACACTGTCTGGTAGAGCCCACCTGCGACCTCTGGCTTTGACTAGTTAAAAATACAATAAGCTGTCCAGGAGAACAAGGTACAGTAGAATAGTTTTTGTAACTAATAATTTTATGCCCATTTGAACTTGGATTAAGATGTGATTTCACTGGATCTGGTTGTTGATTCAAGGACTCATATATTTGGAACTTCTTTAACCATAAGAGGAAGCATGAACTCTGCCATCTCTGTTCCTGCCTTGTCACCACATTGACTAGAGCTCCTGATTATAGGTAGGTCGGTTACTTTACGTAGATCAGCTCAGTAGGGTAGGTGTTGTGCCAATACAGTACTGTACTGATATTGAAACAGTTTATTTTGCCAGAAAAATACAGATACAGAGTGGACAATAATAACAATACAGTATACTTTTGATTTAACAGAATTCGATATAATAAACTCGATTTCGAGGAACGGATTTTTTCGTTGTCTTTCGTCGTTTAGTGAACTAGTTCGCTAAATCGTGATTAATTCCGTTAATACGCTTGCACCTATGGAGACAACTGAGACACATGATATAGTAAAACCTACTTCAGCCTTCGGCAAATGTATTAAGTGTATAAAAACGATAAATAATGATTTAAAGTGATTACTAGAAAATCGGAGAAAGTGGTGAGAAAATCACTCCAAGCCTTTCTGCTCCAGGCCTGGGGATAAAGGTGAGTGGGAAGAGTTAGGTGACATGCCAAGACACTTACACAACACACACATTAACAACACCACTAAACTATTGTCTTAGAACATTTGACTTTATTATTTCTATTATAAAATTAATTGATACATGATGGCTCAGTTTGGCTACTTTTGCACTTAGACAACTGATAATTGAATAAACCAGGGCATATGGAGATGTATTATACATTAGTGATGTCATGAAACTTCGCAACTACAACCACATAGCAAAATTTATCACAACCTGTACTCAAATACTGTATACACTATACCAAGTTAATTACTAAAAATTTTATGTCTAGTGCAAAGTACAGGAAGTTTGTACTCAAATTAATCAAAATCTTGCAAGGATCCCAGCAATGCATGACATATTCTGCTAAGTCAAGTCGGTGACATTTTATAAGCGAAAAACTTAGACTCCCTGTCTTTTGTAATCCCGAGTCCCTCCTCACTCCTCAACTGATGAATAGACTCCCTGTCTTTTGTAATCCCGAGTCCCTCCTCACTCCTCAACTGATGAATACGCACCCAGCTCCTGGATGTCAACATCTCACCTCCCCTTCCCCCTCCTCCCAGTTAGCCGGGAAAGCAGATGGTGGTGAGTGATAACAATTAATGAGATGAATGTGATAATAGGCTTAAAGTTTTTCTTTTATAAAATGTCACAGACTAGACTTAAGAATATAACACATTGCTGGAATCCTTGCAAGATAGCGATTAATGTGAGTATAAGCATTTCATAGCTTGCACAAGATAAAATTTTTAGTTCTTTAGCTGAGCTTAGCTTTTTCACCGGGAAAAGTCTGTACAACTAGCCCCAGTGGTCAGGATATGATATAGAACGTTACAGAGTATTTAAAATGAATCTTTTGTTTAGTTCTGTACATAGAGACTGGTAGAAACTGACTGCACACCCCTAAAAAGGTTGTCTGCCTCTTATAATTCTTCCTGGGCAAATTATTGTTTACTTGTTATTTATTAATTAGTAAAGATATTTTACTGTAATAATTTGAGCTTATTGATACCAGTACCCTTCATATGCAGTAAAATGCCTATTTTTATCTTATTATTCAGCTTCTCATTTATGGATAACATATTGGTAATGTTTTGTAGAGAATTGATTAAGGATCATTATGGTATCAAATTCATCTCCCTATCACAATTAGCCATGCTTGAGTGAGGAAGGAGGCGGGAAAAGTGACCGCAAGACAATCCCCCCCCCCCACCAGCCATCCTATGACTTCTTTCTCACTCCATATTTTAAAATGTTATGTAACGTAATGTTGAAGGGAAACAACTTTGCTCATTTATACTTACATAGTAAACCCTCGATAACTCGGAATTTCATATAACTAGAAGTGGATATGGTCTCGGAATGTATTAGTATAACTCGGGAAATGCCGAGATATGTAAAATTATCTGTGAAAGTCGCTGCATATATGGCCACCTGCATCACCTACCATGCCTCTGTGTCACCTACCATACCTCTGTGTCACCTACCATGCCTGTGTCACCTACCATACCTCTGTTTCACTTACCATGCCTCTGTGTCACCTACCATGCCTGTGTCACCTCACCATACCTCTATGTTACCTACCATTCCTCTGTGTCACCTATCATGCCTGTGTCGCCTACCATGCATCTGTCACCTATCATGCCTCTGTGTCACCTACCATGCCTCTGTGTCACCTACCATACCTCTGTGTCACCTACCATACCTCTGTGTCACCTACCATGCATCTGTGTCACCTACCATGCCTCTGTGTCACCTACCATACCTCTGTGTTACCTACCATGCCTCTGTGTTACCTACCATACCTCTGTGTTACCTACCATACCTGTGTCACCTACCATACCTCTGTGTCACCTACCATGCCTCTGTGTCACCTACCATACCTCTGTGTCACCTACCATACCTCTGTGTCACCTACCATGCATCTGTGTTACCTACCATGCCTCTGTGTCACCTACCATACCTCTGTGTCACCTACCATACCTCTGTCACCTACCATACCTCTGTGTCACCTACCATACATCTGTCACCTACCATACCTCTGTCACCTACCATACCTCTGTGTGCTACCTCTGTTTCTTACCATGCCTCTGTGTCTTCTGTGCCTCTGTGCCCCTACCATGCCTCTGTGTGCTCCTACCACTTATCTGTGTCTTTCCTGTGTCACCTACCATACTCTGTTTCTTTCACCCATACCTCTGTGTCACCTACCATGCCTCTGTGTCACCTACTGCATGCCTCTGTCTTACCATGCCTCCTGTGTCGCCTACCATGCCTCTGTGTCCTGCATGCACTCTGTGTCTCTGTGTCACCATGCGCACTCTTAGTGATAGCCCTCTGCTTCTTGCTCTTAGTGATGCTCCTGCCATGCCTCTGTGTCACCTCACCATGCCTCTGTGTGCTCACTACCATGCCTCTGTGTCTCCTCATACCTCTGTGTGCTCCTACCATGCCTCTGTGTCTCCTACCATGCCTCTGTGTCCTCTCGCTTACCTCTGTGTCACCTACCATGCCAGGCTGTCACCTACCATGCCTCTGTCACCATACTCTGTGTCACCATGCCTCTGTGTCGCCTACCCATGCCTCTGTGTCTCCCTACCATACCTCTGTGTCACCTCTACATGCTCTGTGTCTCTACCATACCTCTGTGTCACCTACCATTAACATATTGTCACCTACCAGCATCCTTCTGTTTCTTTCACCCATTGCACTCTGTGCCTACCATGCCTCTGTGTCGCCTGCAAGTAGCACTCTGTGTGCTCCTGCCATGCCCACTCTGTGCCTCGTGTGTGTCACCTACCATTACTCTGTGTCACCTACCATTATATCACCGTGTCTCACCTACTTGCTCATCACCTACCATACTCTTATTGTCACCTACCATGCTCTGTGTCTTGCCTGCCTCTGTGTCTTATTGTCTCCTACCATGCCTCTGTGATACTTTCACCATGCCTCTGTGTCTCTACATTGTGCCTACCCATTGCACTCTGTCACCTACTGCATGCCTCTGTGTCACCTACCATACCTCTGTCATCTTCCTGTGTCACCCTACCATACTTCTGTTTCTGCGACCATGCTTATCTGTGTAATGTCCTGCCACCGGCTTACCTCCTGTGTCACCTACTTTCTGTGTCTCTACCATACCTCGTGTCTTACCATGCTTATAATCACCTACCATACTTCTGTTTCACCTACCATGTTTCTGTTTCACCCCTACCATGCACTCTGTGTCTACCTACCATACCTATGTGTCACTACTATGCCCTCTGTTTCACTTACCTTGCCTCTCACTTTCTGGGTACCTCAGTGTCACCTACCATGTACTATCTGTGTCTCCTACCATGCCTCTGTAATCTTTCCTACCATACACTCTGTGTCACCCCTACCATGCCTGTGCCCTACACCCTCTGTCTGCCTGTGCCTGCATACCTGTTTCACCTACCATGTTTGTTTACATACCATGCCTCTGTGTCTCTACCATGCCTCTGTGTACCCGTGCACTCTGTGTCCGCCTCTGCAAGTAGCACTCTGTTAGTCGCCTACCATTATATATTGATCTTACCATTATATCTCTTAATCACCTACCGTATCTCTGTGTGTCACCATTATCGTGTCTCTCACCGCGCCTCTCCTGTCACCTACCATCACTTTCCTGCCTCTGTGATACTTCTGGCTTACTACACTTGCCTCTGTTGTCTCTCTACCATGCCTCTGTCTCTGCATGCCTCTGTGTCACTTTCGTACCTGTGTCTACATATTTCTACAATGTTTCTGTTTTCACTTACCATGCCTCTGTGTCTTTCTCTAAGCACCTCTGTTAATCACCTACCATGCCTCTGTCACCCCTACCTCTTTCCTCTCCATCTTACTCTGTGTCACCTACCGTAGCATAATGTGCCTACCATGCCTCTGTTTCACCTGCCATACCTCTGTCTGCACCTACCATGCCTGTAATCACCTGCATGCTTTAGTAATCACCCTCACCAATATATCTCCATTCAATGTCCTACCATGCCTCTGTATCCTACCATGCACTCCTGTGTCTCACCATATCTCTGTTTCGCCTGCCATGCCTCCTGTGTCTCTGCTTTTAAATGCAATGCCTGCCATGCCTCTTGTGTCACCTACCATGCCTCTGTGTCTCCCTACCATGCCTCTGTGTCTCTACCATACCTCTGCTGATACCC